AGTTTTTTTTGTTTCCCCCAGAATATATACTGGCCTATTATTATTTTTTACCTGCTGTTTGGCATTATTTTAAATGTTTTCCTTAAATTTATAATGTTATAATTAAATAAATATATTTATAAATGTTTGTAAACAAAAAAATAGTCTTGATGAGAATTTAGGCCTTAGTGTCACTAATAGTGCTTCTGAGAAAAACCTGAGCTCTCATATATTTTGGGAACATGATTTTGTTGCTCATATTGTTGTTTAGGAGTCCTAATTCCAGGAATATGTTTTTTTTTTTAAATTCCTTAGACTTCCTAGACAGATATTTTCAAAAAAGAATTACTCTTATCATATCATATTTGAATTTTCTCTTTCTTTGATTTTACTCTCTTGATTCAAGATGCACACTTCAACTGAGCATTTGCAATTCCTAGAAAAGTTACAGGTCAGCTAGCCAAGCTGACAAAGCTAAATTTTACCCACATTTGTTTGTCAGCAAATATTGATTTTAAACCCAGTGATTTTAACAAGTTAACAGGTTACGTTTTCAAACAGTTGTATTTAATTTATTTACTGACTAATACAATTGAAGAAACAACTTATAATGTCGGGCTTCTTCACACTTTCATTGTCGTTAAGAAGCTTTGGTTCTCTTTTAATGAAAAAAGAAAAAAAGTGTACCAATGTAAAGATGTTTTTAGCTGTAACCCAATACTTTTTAATACTTGTAACACTTTACTTTTAAAAGTAGTGTTCCTCAAAACTGGGTGTGGTTAAACGATTATTTTCCCCCTCAAACAAATGTTTAGAGGTCAATGACACAACACCCTGAAGTTAATCAACATGAGATGATCTTCTGCTTTGCTGGTGTTACAAAGTCCTGTGGCATGGGTTAAGGCCTCCCACTAGATCTCTTACATTTAATCCCAAATTAAACTCTGATCTCCTCATTCGTGTGGTATTTTTTTGCAGCATAACAGTGTTTCTTTGACCTCATTCACCTCATCCATCTTTATCCATGCCTGCGTTGTCTTTTTTTTCTGGAAAATCATATTACAGAGTTTAGGTCATCATCTTCGTTTATGCCTTGCTACTGTAATCCTATTTTCTGTGTCATCTGGTAGTGTCAGCAGATGGTGGTCTGGGGAGGCAGTTTGACACCCAACTCACAGCTGTCTGGCCGGCCTGACAGGCCTCCTTTGTCTCTCAATCATCATTCCAGAATGGTGCCTCTCCGCCTCATTGTGTCTCTATTTAACCCCCTCTCTTTTGGAGTGTTTCTACTATGTGTATAATATATGCAGTAACATAACTGCCAAAGTTCTCCAATCACAAGTAGGAGTCTCTTTTCTTTCCCCCCTCACAGTCTGTATTTTTTTTTGTTGTTGTTGTTGTTTTACGTTGTGGATTGCCATCTCTCCCTCTTTCTCTCTATGGCTCACCCTCATTTTCTCCCAGTGTGTTAATAAAAATGTTAGAGTGCGATAGAGAGAAAGAGAGGGGGCTCAGTACGGCCCCCTGCAGAATCCCGCGCTCTGGCTTGCTTCCATGCCCACGGTCGCTTGGCTTTACTTAGTTCCAGCTCAGTGCCTGCGGCAGGCTGAACAAGCTCAGCTTTAGATTGACCCCATGGCCCAGGGCCACTCCTACCTCATTCCTATGATTATCTTTGATATTCTTTTTCTCTCCCCTTTTCTTTTGATCTCCTCTTTTTGTTGGCTTTCCCTCCCCCTCCTGAAATATCTTTATAACACTTCATTACAGAATTAATTTGTCAAGTGAACACTATAGAGACAGCGGGCAAAAGAAACTTGAGAACGAGACAGATAACTATGCATTCTCAGCAGGTTTGTTAGAAAAACATTCATATAGAAGGAAGGGGAGTTCAAAATCACTATTGAATTTAAATAGTGTCACCTATTTTCTCACCTTCAAATTGTATTTTAGATTTGTATAAGAAACTGGTAAGAAAATTTCTCATGTTCTCATTTTTGTGGATCACTCTTTTCTCACATATCATCTTGTCTAAAAATCTCTCTAATCAGTATTCCTAATTTATATTAGTTTAACTGCATTACATTAAGGTGGGAGGAATTTGTATTTATTTATTTATTATTTGTTGTTGTTGTACAAAATGACACATTTTTCTCATATTTAAATTTTGTTACTTTAACAAATGTCTCGTTCTTTATTGATTCTGAGTTGATCTGAATTCATATACGCATATCTATATGCTTAGGAGGTCAGTGCAAAAGGTCATCTATCTTAAGGCATTTTGGGAACTTAGAGAAGAGCTTTGCTCAAATTAATCACTGTAGTGCCTCTAATTGATATCAGTTGACTTGCAAATCAGCACTAGGAAGCTTTTGACCTGTGCACCAGGAACCCTGTAGTATTCTGATTTGATTAATCTATATTATATCTTAATGAAAGCATTTTTTAAGAAAGTAGCATTTATTATGTTTTCTGATGTACAGTTTGCATATTTGTGTATGTATGCTGAAAATTGAGTTCTTGGCAGCTTAATAATGTCCATAACCTTGCAAATTTACTTTGGTAAACATAGATTAAAAATACAAGACTGTGCAAAAGTCTTATGCCATTACTAGTTTCACCAACAAAAAAATGGTTTTAAGCCAGTTATTTCTATCTTTTGCTTTAGTGTGTCAGTAAAAAATATCAGTTTACATTTCCAAACTTTCCTTTTGCCATTAATTGTAATAATCCAGTAAGATTTTTGTATGCACAAGGAGTCTGACAACAGCCAGTGCTCCACTCAGAGATCTGATCTCACCATCATCCAGTCCATCTGGAATTACTTGAAGAAACAGAAAAAACTGAGACCGACTAAATCCCGAAAAACCACGACAACATCTCCAAGACGCCTGAAGCAACCTACCTGCAAAGCTACAGTACTGTTAAAAGTTTTAGGCACTTGTGTAAAAATGCTGTAAAGTGAGGATGCTTTCAAAAATAATGTCATAAATAGATGATATTAATTAACTTCTATTAACTAAATCAAATCAACATTTGGTGCGACCATCCTTTGCATTTAAAACAGCTTTTGTCTTAGGTACACTTGCACATAGTTTTTCAGGTAGCTTTGTAGGAAGGTGTCTTCAGGTGTTTTGGAGACGTTGCCGCAGTTCTTTGGGATTTAGTCTGTCTCAGTTTTTTTTATTTTTCTTCAAGTAATTCCAGACGGATTGAATGATGGTGAGATCAGATCTCTGTGTGGAGCACTGGCTGTTGTCAGACTCCATGTGCATACAAAAATCTCACTGGATTATTACAATTAATGGCAAAAGGAAAGTTTGGAAATGTAAACTGATATTTCCTACTGGCACATTAAAGCAAAAGATAGAAATAACTGACTTAAAACCATTTTTGTTGGTGAAAATGCTAATGGCCTAAGACTTTTGCACAGTACTGTATACTTAAACGTATTACAAAATATGACTAGTTTTTAATAAGATTCATGATTCAATTAGATATATAATTTACATTTTTTAAAGTCAGTGTAGTGGCTAATACTAGGTAATGTGTGTTATTTTAATAACAATAACTGTAATCCTGTTCACTATGCAAAAAACTCTTGTACTATTAGTGTTGCACAATATGCAATACTAACAACATTGTAATATCCCAGGATTTATGGATGGGCAGATAGATACTGATACTGGTGTATTTAGAATGAGCAATTAATGCATATAATAAGTTAAAATTAACCATGTTTGCAAATTTTTTCCTGTTTCCACTTGTCTCAACACACAGACATTTTGAAAAACACAAGCAGTCAAAGAAAATGAGCAATTAATGCATATAATAAGTTAAAATTAACCATGTTTGAAAATTTTTTCCTGTTTCCACTTGTCTCAACACACAGACATTTTGAAAAACACAAGCAGTCAAAGACACAATAAATAATGACAGAGAAGAAACATTTCAAATGAAATATTGCAATAAAATGTTTTGTGAAGTTTACTTAAATTAGTTTGTTAAAGTTAAACTTGTAAACGATGGTAGACATAATTAAAAAATGTAATCAATTAAACAATTAAAGACAAACATTTGTCAGTCATACATAAATGAAAATGGACATACATAAATAAATGAAAGGGGTAAAAAAAAACACTTAAGATTTTTGTACTCAAATACTCATGTCTGTTGCACAAGCAATATTCATTTAGTTAAAATGTTTGAGTTTGAAACTAATTGGATTTATTGATGATAGATAAATAATTTAAAACAGGCTTAGTTTATTAGTACTATTACAGAAATCTTACCTGTTTCATTTATGCATGACTGACAAATATGCATCACATTAAGTTTGTTAGTTTGTTTATGTTAAAACCGTGCAATCCAAATGTAATTTAAATCCATCTTAAATTTTAGGCCTGGATATTTTGTGTCTTCTGTAATTCTTTTTAATGCATAAACAAAAACAGAAGTCTGTTAATGTGAGATTTAGGCTTATTAAATGTTTAATTTGTTAAAAGATTAGTGCTTTCTAGTAGGGCTGTCAACGTTAACGCATGCGATTAATTTAACGCAATTAACGCAAAATTACTGAAGCACAGTCATTTATTCTATTTAATCTATTCTAACCCTTTAACCCAATTTTGCTTCTCTGCTTGCGATCAGATCATTTTAAGCCGCTAAACTCTGGGAAAGTTTTCAGTGCAATGATCCAGTAAGCGAATGCATTCAAATTTTCCTATGGGGTTTTATAATGGGGTTTTTCAATTAAAATAAAGCCTGTGGTAAACATAACTTGACGATACTTTTACGTTTTGTTGTACAACGTAAATTACACACATCCATACCCAAAATACAAATTTTGAAGCAGTTATGTTCATTTTTGAAAACGTATGTTTTTAATAAGTAGCTAGATAAGAAGGTTTAGGCTGTGAGTGTGTACAGTTTACATTGTAGAACAAAACGTAGAAGTATCGTCAAGTTATGTTTACCACAGGCTTTATTTTATTCATAAATTGAAAAACCCCATTAAAAAAAACCCATAGGAAAATCTCAAAGGAACCCGCAGCGAATTACACTTCCTGGTTCTGACGTCATAGTTCCCCCACTCTATTTCAGATCTATTAATGCACTTAATACTTACATTTCATGTCCTGAAGAACAGTTCTCCTCACACACGTACACTGGGAAAGCATGTTGACATCATGTAAACAACAAAAAAAAAAAAAGTTAAACAAGCAGGCCAACTTTATTTTATATACAATGGAAACAGTGATGGAGGTAGTTAGTGTTTGTGAATTTGCACTCACCTGAAGATCAAACATTTCGAATGTCATGCAACATCTGTGAAATCTTGCTGGTGTGTGCCACTTTCTCTGATATGGTGAAACTCAGCACAAACCTAGAAAACCACAAACATTCACAAGTAAGTGTATAACCAACAATGGATGTAGAAAAGAGAAAGCAGAGTCTGTGTCCTGTTATGTGAGGACACATCACACAACTTGCTCTTCAACTGAATAGAAGTTACCTTAAGTGTTGAGGCTCACTCTTTTGTATTCAGCATCCAGCACAGCCTGCAATTAAAGAAAGTTTGTAAAGGTTTACTATAAGTTTGTAGATTGCTTTTGTAAATTTAATATATTGCAAAATTCATGTCTGTGTATTAGCTTTAACCTAATTTTGGATTAATACTCTTAGCAGCTAGTTGTTTAAAAACAGACCAAATAAAAATTTACCAGGGCATTTCCCAAAAGAAGCATTGTATGGCTAAGATGATCGTAGAAACACTTGCCAACACTCAAAAAGCCAATACGAAATTTTCACAGTTGTTTTGATTTACTTACAAGTTGTTCCATTACGTTGGCTCTGGTCGCTTGCGAGTCTCTGCCATGTTGAATGGATTCTTCTGAACGTCGGTTAGAGCAAAGACGTGACATCACTTTACGTCACTCAGTAAACTTAAAAATAATTATTTAAATAAAAGAGTTTACTCAAAACTGTTGAGCCACACAAAAATAAAACTAAATTCCTCGTTCAGAAAATGTAATTGTAATAAGTTGCATCAACGATTTAACAGCCTTTAATTTCAGTGTTCTTCATTTTTATAAGTTAGTAGTACTGTTCGGGTTTACAGTGTGCAATCAAGATAAAGACGATTGCGGTGGCGTACAGGAAGCACGCGCGGGTCCGTTATAATAATGTGTGTATAAGAGCTCGACGCACTGATCGCACATTGTATTTATGCACAGGCACAGATTTGGTTCTTTGGTGTCCTTTTGGAGTTTCCTTTTGGAGTTTTGGAGTTCTTTTGGAGTCCTTTTTTGGAAAGACATCTATATTTATCCTGAAAAAAGCTTGCAGAAAATACAGATTTTTGAGAATCACCCTTCAATCTTTTGGTTTACTTTGCTGAATATAGCAATCTATGCTTAATTTCATGAAGTGTGAAGACTGCGCAATTAATCACAGAAAAAGGGTGTGATTAATTAGATAAAAAATTTTAATCTATTGACAACCCTACTTTGTAGAAAAAAGTTAAATGGCTGCAATTACTGATTTTATCAATTCACTTAATAGAGTTATTGGTATTGGCCTTAATAGCACTTGGTATCGGACACAAAATGATCTGGACGACATACACATGCAAAAGAAGTGCTCATTTCGTGCAGTAATTGATTCATTGTGTTGAGTTTGTTTGCTGGCTGCTTGTTTCAGGTCTGTGTGCGGTCTACACGTGTGTGTGTGTGTGTGTGTGTGTGTGTGTCTGTGTGTCTGTGTGTGTGTGTGTTTAATTGCTCAGGTTCCAATCGTGAGACAGCTTGTCTGTGCACTGAGTGAACTGTCCCAGACATGCTGCGTGAGGTGTTTGTCTGTTGTGCACAGACAATCAATACTCTCCCATTTAAAGAAGTCTAAGGTCAGGCCTCTGCACTGATAATGTGAATTGTTTTGTTAGATAGTCAAAGGTCAGATAATAATTTTTTTTTTTTCAACCACTTCCCATCTGGAATTGATCAGTATCATCTCCTGGGTACAACCACTGCCGTTAGCTAGCTTATCTTAACTTGCTACACATCTTATTGTAGGCTATGGTTTTGTTAATAAAAACAAAATTTTCTTGGGGTACATATGTACATTGTGGTGTGGATCTGCTGATGTATTAGTTTGTGACTGTATATGGATGTCACTTCTATTGTTAGTCATTTTCTCTATGTGAACTTGTTTATTTTTTTCTGCTAACCGTGTCAAACAGTGGGAATACATGATGATTTTCTTAAATTATTACTATTATCATTATTAATTTAATTTATTTTTAATTATTGGAAATTGTATTTTAAAGGGGTCATATGATGCGATTTCAAGTTTTCCTTTCTCTTTGGAGTGTTACGAGCTGTTCGTGAATAGATAAGATCCCTAAAGTTGCAAAGATTAAAGTCTCAAACCCAAAGAGATATTCTTTATAAAAGTTAAGACTGGTCCACGCCCTCCTAAAACGCCTAGTTTAAACACGCCCCCACATGTCTACGTCACTGTGTGGGAAGGTTTGCATAACGCCCGCCCAAATGTTCACACAAAGAAAGAATGCGTAACTTTGATTCTCTGTAGCATTGTTGCTGCCGCCGCCACCATGTCATGGAGACGCTGTGTTTTGTTGTGAAAGCGAAACCACTTTGTTTGGTCTTTCAAAAGAGGACACAACTAGAAATCAGTGGTTAAGTTGTATTTACAACACTGTTCCAGAACAGTT